CAAGTGTCTGCAAACTCAAGAAGTCACTGTACGGCATCAAACAAGCTCCACGACTGTGGCAGCAGCATTTGAACAGAAAACTTACAGAGGTTGGATTCAGACAACTGCCACATGACCCCGGAATGTATCGACTAGACGACAAGGGGAGCTACGCGCTACTTGTGGCTTACGTGGATGATATTATCTACGTAAGTTCCTCGGCTTCTCTGGGTGATCGCATCGAAGCAGATTTGAAGAAGTCCCTTGACTTAACTGTTTCTACCGAAGTAACCCAATTTCTTGGGTTAAATATTTCGCGAACTTCTTCCGCAATTCACCTCACAGCATCGAAGTACGCTGAGTCACTCGCTAAGCGCTTCAAGATTCCTACAAGTTACGTCGCTACACCGTTTCGGTCTACACCCACTGGGTACATTTTCAACGACACCAAACTTTCGGCAGCTGGTTTACAACTATACCAGCAGCAACTTGGGTGCCTTCTCTTCGCAGCAGTCACGTGTCATCCCGACCTTGCGTATGTCGCAAGTTATCTCGCACAGTTTTTACGCTGCCCAAAAGAAGAACATCATCTCGATCTTCAGCGCGCTCTACACTATTTTGTTGCAACACCAACAGTCGGGCTGATTTTCAACACAGGAAAACCGACCGACAAAATGTACCTCAGCGGATATGTCGACGCAGACCACGCTGGTGACACGTCAGATCGCCGGTCACGAACAGGCTACATTTTCCGTCTCGAGCCCATTGGTCCAATCTCATGGAACTCATCGAAACAGGAACTCGTGTCACTTTCCTCGGCTGAAGCAGAATTCATTGCCGCGTGTGCTGCAACTCGAGAAGGACTATACTTACAGGAACTGCTCGACGAAGCAAAGTTCGTCACGCCGAATCAGTTTACGTTGCAGTGCGACAACCAAAGTGCGATTACCATCGCCAACAAACCCGGCTTCGTCAATCGCACGAAACATATTTCACTACGTTACTTCTTCGTCAAGGATGCGATCGACAAGGGGAGAATGCGCCTTGTCTACTGTTCCACTGGTGACATGGCAGCTGACTCACTTACCAAGAAGCTGACGCGACAGAAATTCCACCACTGCAACCAGCTCAGCGGAATTTCCGAGACAACCGGATAACTACACCGAACTCCTAGAAGTGAAGGGAAGTGTTGAGATAATATCGAGACGTAAAGCACTTCAAGGAAATTCGTGTAGTACAGTAAAGTACCGATAGGCTGACGTCAGCAAATCGCTACGCGACCTAGGATGACGTCAGCACGTAGCTATAGACTTCGCGAATAGTTACGTACCGTTTCAAGATAAGAATAGCACAGTACAGTAGGCGAACAGGTACTTTACTCTAGCTATATATTTTGTATGTTTGTCATTTTATAATATATCTGATTTCAGAGACATTTGATCCTGAAACGTATCACTACATAGACTTTATTAAGTCTAGACAAAGCCTTCATAACTGGCTTAACTCATATAAGACTTCCGCTACGACAGGAAGTTACCATCCTAAGTAGTACGATCCTACAAACTCACTTCAAATTCTAACAACATCGATGTGGGAGCAGTATTGTTGCAGGACTTCTGGAACAGCCTCCAGCCTATCGCGTACGAGTCCTGCAAACTTCACCCGCCCGAACGCAACTACCCGATACACGACCGCGAGATGCTGGCGATCATGCACGCGTTCAAAGTGTGGCGGTGCTACCTGACAGGAGCTAACGTGACAGTACGGACATACCATCGTGCACTACAGTACCTTCGCGCCCAACCGAGTCGCAATCTGCGACAGATCCGCTGGTTGGACTATCTGGAGTCCAATTTCCACTACAGTGCAAAAAGGGAGCGCCGAACATTGCTAACGCACTCACCCGCCCCACTGCCCAACTTTACGCCATCCTACTCGCCCAAACCAACCCACTTTTAACCGGCCTATTCACCCATGGATATCGCACCGACCCATTTTTCACGACCGGAAATTTGCAGCAACTAACAAAAGCAAAGGGAGTCAATTACCTAAAAACATGTACCAACCGCATCTGGGTACCCGCGCACGAATGGTCTTAGTTGACTGACGTACAGCACCACGTGGGGTCGTGTCCTACATGTCAGGAGATGAAGAGCTCACGAAAAAGAAAGGCGGGTCAATTGCAGCCGATTCCACTGCCCGCACGAATGGTACCCGTGGTGCTGACTAGACCATTGGGATAAAAGGGCTTGTTAAGTAGCGGGTCAGAGTGCGCCCATAACCCCCCAGGCGAACGCGCCTGTAACCCCCCTAGGATCAATCGGGCATCCACAGTGCAGATCTACTGACACCCCCCCACACTGGGAGGCCCAGGACTGAGCACAGCGGCAACGGCCTACATGTGCATACACCGGGATTCGAACCCGAGACCTTTCTGACACCATGTCAGAATCCCAGTCACTAGACCATTGGGATAGAAGGGCTTGTTAAGTAGCGAGTCAGTGCGCCCATAACCCCCCAGGCCAACATGCCTGTAACCCTTCCCTAGGATCGATCGGGGATCACCAGTGGACCTCTGACACCCCCCCGCACTGGGATGTCCGAAGTGCACACACCGGGATTCGAACCCGAGACCATCGCTCGGATACCATGTCAGAATCCCAACCACTAGACCATTGGGATAAAAGGGCTTGTTAAGTAGCGGGTCAGATTGCGTCCATAACCCCCCAGGCGAACGCGCCTGTAACCCCCCTAGGATCAATCGGGCATCCACAGTGCAGATCTACTGACACCCCCCCACACTGGGAGGCCCAGGACTGAGCACAGCGGCAACGGCCTACATGTGCATACACCGGGATTCGAACCCGAGACCTTTCTGACACCATGTCAGAATCCCAGTCACTAGACCATTGGGATAGAAGGGCTTGTTAAGTAGCGAGTCAGTGCGCCCATAACCCCCCAGGCCAACATGCCTGTAACCCTTCCCTAGGATCGATCGGGGATCACCAGTGGACCTCTGACACCCCCCCGCACTGGGATGTCCGAAGTGCACACACCGGGATTCGAACCCGAGACCATCGCTCGGATACCATGTCAGAATCCCAACCACTAGACCATTGGGATAAAAGGGCTTGTTAAGTAGCGGGTCAGATTGCGCCCATAACCCCCCAGGCGAACGCGCTTGTAACCCCCCTAGGATCAATCGGGCATCCACAGTGCAGATCTACTGACAGTACTCACTACTAACGGAACCGCTACTGCAGGAGGCACACGACGGGGTTACCTCAGATCACTTCGAAGTAGAAAAAACGCGACAGCAGCTGGAGTGGTATTACTACTGGATGGAGCTGTTGACTGACGTACAGCACCACGTGGGGTCGTGTCCTACATGTCAGGAGATGAAGAGCTCACGAAAAAGAAAGGCGGGTCAATTGCAGCCGATTCCACTGCCCGAGCGCGCCTGGTAGCAGGTTACCATGGATTTTGTCACGGGGTTACATTCGAACCCTGGAGGTAACAACGCGGTTATGGTCGTCGTTGACAGACTGACGAAAATGGCTCACTTCGCTGCATGCAGGAAATCGATCTTAGCCGAAGAAACCGCTCGTCTGTTCATCGCAATCGTCGTTCGATGGATACCAGCCGCGATAATCAGCGACCGCGACACGGAGTTTACCAGCAAATTCTGGAAGAACCTTTAGGAGCAGTTTGGGACTAGGCTACAGTTCAGCTCGTCGTACCACCTCGAGACCGACTGTGAAATGGAGCGGATGAACCAGACCATGGAGCAGCAGATTCGTGCCACGTGTGACGACCCGACAACATGGGAGCAGCAACTGCTGCTGACCGAGTTTGCCTACAACAGCGCTACGTCAGCGATGACGCAGCAGTCCCCGTTTTACGTGAACCACGGGCAAAACCCAACAGTGCCCATGACGCCGAGTCCGAACAACCCCAAGCCACGCGCTCAACAATTCGTCGAGATACTGCAAGCTGCCCGAACGCGAGCAGCAGAAGCAATAAAAAAAGCAAACATCATCGCTAAGAGAAATGCTGACCGCCACCGCCGCCCAGTCACGTACCAGTCAGGTGATTATGTATTGCTCGACACACAGAATTTAAGACTGCCCGTCGTACCGACACTTAGACCGCGCTACTGTGGACCGTTTCAAATCAGCCACATGATCACCCAAGTCACCGCCCATCTACTGTTACCGACAGACGGGTACATCAGCCCTTCGTTCCACGTCAGCCTGCTTCGCTCCTACATCCCAACCACCAGCCAACTGCCACGCCATCGCCCGCCATCCATGACTCGCCCTGCATCAGAGCCGATCGTCGAGCCCGAGAAAATTTTGAGCCATCGGATTCGTCACCCTACAGGCATGAAGAGGATCAAGTTCCTCGTTCGCTGGAAGGACCGCACGCCAACTGAAGATAGCTGGGTGCCCCTGGCCAACATCGAAAAAACACCCTGCCCTGCAAGTGTACCTGAGGAGCCGAGGTTTCCGCGATATACACGCACTCGCGTAGCGGAGGGGGCTTCTTGAGAGGGGGGGGGGGTAGTGTAAGGATTTTTTTCGGCATTCCTTTCTGCGTTCTTCAACATCGCGTACAGCACCAGCCGTTGTTCGCCCGTTACTGCTAACGGGGCTTCGCCAACCTCGCGCGCACTGTTTTACCAAACCATACACCGCTGGCCTGGCCGAGTCGGCCTACGCTTCGGGGCTAACCCGAACCTCGATGCCAGCCTAGCACTAGCCAGCTCGCACGCACCGCGTTACCGTTTGCATGTTTTCGCGTATAAGTATTCGCTCATGCCTTCGCTCATATTTTGTACTCATTTGACACATAGTGCAATCCTCGCTATCTCGTTCCATTGCACCCTTAACAAAGAGTAATGAATGATGTACATAGCAGCAATCCATTTAACCTCATATACAATGAGCAGGTACAATTTACAAGGACACAGTTTTAGACATATCAGCACTCAAGAGGAAAAAATATTTGCCAGCAGAACTTCAGCCTACCAGCATAAGAGAGGGCTCCTCTTTTGCTGCCTTCTCTTCCCTCTCTTCCCTTCTCTCCTCCCCACCAGCTTTGAGCTTCTTTTCTAAATGCCCTGCCACATGATCCACCGCTCCCAACCCCTCCTGCTCACCTGCACACCCCTTCCCACCAATTCCAACCGCATCTCCATTCTCAACCCCATGCTTCCGCTCTCCATCCCGTGCTGCAACCCCCACTCCCACACCTCTTCCTCCATCCAGCCCCTCCATCCCCTCTCCTTTCCTCCCCTCTCCTTCCCTCCACACCGCCTCCACCTCATCGGTTCGAAACCGCTGAGTGCAAGTCGAATCCTCGATAGGAACAGTCATGCTGAGCCCGCCATGCTGAAACGCCAGCAGGCCTGTGTAAGCAATCATGGCTCCGTTGTCAATGCAGTACCGGTCGTCTGTGGCAAAGAGCCTTCCCCCTCGTTCTAAGCACATCTGCTGCATCATCTCCTGCAGGCGAATGTTGCAGCCCACGCCCCCCACTATAAGCACGTCGCGCTTGTTGCAATGTGCCATGGCCCGCTCGGTCGTCTCCACCAGCATTGCAAAGATGGTTTCCTGTGCAGCAAGAGAGAATGCAAGCAAGCAACCAACGAGCGCAAAAGACGGTCCAATCGCACACAACGGCCCTCGCAATCAGATCTAATCATTTGATACCCAGCATGTGCAAGCACGCCCAACAACTAACCGGAAATAGAACCCATGAAGAAGCCTCTACAAGGCCCCAAAGAAAGAGCAGGGAAACAGCTGAGGAGCATGGCAAGCAAGTGAGGTGGGGACAGGTGGGCCTGCCGGAAGAAGCAGAGGTCATCAGCGCGGTGTCTTTTGAGTCGACTCAGAAGTCATGGCCAGAGAGCATCAAAGATATGAAGAGTGTGGGAAGCAAGAGCTGAGGAGCGTGGCAAACAGGGTTTGGGTGAGGAAGGGCGGACAAGGAGGGAGAAGCAGAGGCAAGCAGGATTTCTAACTCGACTCAAACATCGTTTCATCCCACGCGTGCCAAGCAAGAGAGGGTGGGCCAGTTCTGAGTCAACTCAAAGCAAGAGAGAGCGGACCTGCAGGGAGAAGCAGAGGTCAGCCGCGGTGGAGCCATCCTCCCCCACGGCGTCCGGTGCAGCGACGCGCTGAGCCAGGCCTTCAACTGCGGTGAGGAGGCCTGAGAATGACACGTCCATGCCCTTCACCACGTACGGCAGCTCCACGTACCGCTTGCCCTGCTTCGCCAGCTGCATCATAGGGGCGTGGAGAGGCCACGGAGGGTGGGGAATGTGAGAGTGGTGGCGGGGATGCAGACGAGACGAGTGGCCCCCCTCACTGGCTGTGAGGAGGCCGGGAAAGGACACATCCATGCCCTTCACACGACCATGCCCTTCACACGTCCATGCCCTTCACCTCGTAGGGCAGCTGCACATAGCGATGCCCTTGCTTCGCCAGCTGCAGATCGTCGAGGGGTGGAGGGGAGAGAAGTCGGTGGAGAAAGGGGGGAGGGTGGGGAATGTGAGAGTGGTGGTGAGAGCACAGGGCGAGTCGAGTGGCCCTTCAAAGGGCAGTGAGGAGGTCAGAAAGGACTCATACCACTGTCCTCGCATCGCCAACTGTACCCATGGTGGAGTCGAGAGGCCAGGAGCGGAGGAGGGGCCACGGGAAACGAGGTGAGATAGTGGGAGGGAGGGTGGGGCATGCGAGAGTGGTGGTGAGGAGGGGGAGAGCACATGCAGTATGAGGGGAGCAGGGAGAGAGGGCGAGTGAATGTGAGGGCCACACACATGTGATGTGAGCACTGCGGCGGCGACGAGGCTATGGGCGGCGAGAGGGAGCGGCCATCCACCACACCACAGTTGTGGGAGGAGGGAGCGGCCATCTATGGCTGTGGGTTGCACACAGCTGTGCGTTCTTCCCTGCTCCCAATCTTTCCACCTCTTTCCACCTCTTTCCACCTCTTTCCCCAGAGCGCTGCAAGGTATTGCGCCCCCGGGTTGTTGTTTGCGACTGTTGAGGAAGCAGGCAGAGCGGTGTTGGTGATTGTCGTACACAGCATATCATGACTGCTCTCTCTTCGCACCTGTCTGCACCTACCCGCACCTATCCACGCCCACGCGTGCGCCTGCCCACATCACCTGTTCGATGTTGTAGCCGGGGCTGGGGCCATTGGAGATGCGTAGCACACAGGCGGAGCAGTCCATTTGCACCTGTCTGCATCCGCACCTACCCACACCGCACCTACCCACACCGCACCCACCCACACCGCACCTACGCACACCCATGCGTGCACTGGCATGACCTACCTCTAACGCTTTAGCCAAAGCTTTAACCCCAACATCTTCTATATTGTTATAAGATAAATTAAGCGCCTTCAGTGACGTATTGCCTTTTAGCATTTCTGCCAAAGCTTCGACCCCAACATCTCCTATATTATTAGAGCCGGGGCTGGGGCCATTGGAGATGCGCAGCACACTAAGTCTCACGTACCTGCACCTACCTATCCGCACCTACCAGAACCTATCCACACACCCATCCTCACCTGTTGATGTTGTAGCCGGGGCTGGGGTCATTGGAGATGCGTAGCACACGCGCGAAGCAGTCTATCTGCACCTGTACCGCACCGCACCTGCCCGCACCTATTCACACCCCTGCACACCCATGCGTGCACTGGCATGACCTACCTGCTCGATGTTGTAGCCCGGGCTGGGGTCGTTGGAGATGTTGAGCACACGTGCGAAGCGGTCCAGACAGTTGCCCACGGCGATGTCAATGGTCTCCCCGAATATGCGGTAGCGGCCCTCTGAGTATGCTATCACCTGGGGGAGAAGAGGGGGGGAGGAGTGGGAGGGCAGGGTTGTGGTTGAAGTGCGGCCCATCAGAGTATGACATTACCTGGTGGGACGAGAGTGTGGGGCGGGGCTTGGAGGCGCCTCAAAAGCGGATGAATATGCGGTACCCCCCTCTCTGAGTACGTCATCGCCTGGGGGGAGGACACGCGGGGGAGGAGGGGGGAAGGTGAGGGGGGCATTGAGGCGGCTCAAATGTCTATGGTCTCCCTGAATATGCGGTACGTCCCCTGAGTGCACTATTACCTGGGGGGACCAGAGTGGGGAGGGAGTGCGTGGAAGGTGGGTTTAGAGGCGGCTCTAGTGTCGATCAATGGTCTCCCCGAATACGCAGTACCCCCCCTTTGAGTACGCTATCACCTGAGGGGAGACCATTCACATCTGAGGGTGGGGACGGGGGGGGAGGCGGTGGGGGGGGTTTCACGGAAAAAGGTGAGGGATGGCGGCGGGGGGTGAGGAGGGGCCAACCTGATGGCGCATCGACGTCCAGGGAGTGTGTCGCAACAAGGAGGGATGCACGGGGGGTCGATCAGATGTCGGGTTGTGTGGGGCAGGCAGGGGGGTGATGCGAAGGAGGGAGTGTGGTTCAAGGCAGGGGCAGTGCCGTGTGTAGCCCCCCAGCCCGTGCAGCAGAGCCGTCTGCTGCAGTGCCCTGAGGCGAAATGGGCCGGGGTGGAGAGGGGAATTGGTGCAAGTGGACATGGTTCAGCTGAAACAGTGCTGCCGTGCCATGCCATGCCATGCCATTGACATGGTTCAGATCAAGCAGTGAGAAGCAAAGCAGTGAGAAGCAAAGCAGTGAGAAGCAAAGCAGCGGAATGAAGGCCTGTCACAAGCAGGCAGTAGCGGGCCTGGTGGTCACGCGCTGGTGGGCAGCTGCTGATTCGGCCGCTGGTGGGCTTCTGCGCATGGGACATCGGATTGATGGGGAATGCACCATGGGGCCTGATGGGGAATGCACCATGGGGCCTGATGGGGAATGCACCATGGGGCCTGATGGGGAATGCACCATGGGGCCTGATGGGGAATGCACCATGGGGTCTAATGGGGAATGCACCATGGGGCCTGATGGGGAATGCGCAAACACATGTGCGCACACCACCGGTGTTTACCATAGCATACAATACAACCACACGTGCACAGCACAGCAAAGCACACAATACAACCACAAAGCACCGCACAGCACCGCACAGCACGCACCTGCGTGTTGCCTCCGCTGACGTAGAGCACCACGGGGTCATGGGCGCCAGTCACGCAGCGCCCCATCTCTATGTGCGCCACACAGTGGTTCACTGGGACTATGGGCTTGCCCCACAGCTGCTCAATGCTCACGGTGGGCGGGGAAGGCGGGGAGAGAGGAGGGTGGGACGGGGGTGAGGAGAGCCTGGGATTGGTTGGCCTCGGAAATTGCATCAGTGTGCGCCACACACTGGTTCACCGGGACTATCGGCTTGCCCCACAGCTGCTCACGGTGGCGGGGGGTCGGGGGGGAGGGGTGTGGGGAAGAGCTGGATTGATTGGCTTGGCCTTGGGAATCGCATTTATATGCCACACAGTGGTTCACCGGGGCTATCGGCTTGCCCAACAGCTGCAATGGTGGGGGGGTGGGTGGCGCCAGGGTTATGGGGGAGGGGGATTTTGATTGGCCTTGGGAATTGCATCAATGTGCGCCACACAGTGATTCACTAGGACTATCTGCTTGCCCCACAGCTGCTCACGCACGGTGGTAAGGGGGGGATGGGGGATGGGGAATTGGGGGATGGGGGATGAGAGGGGGGGGTGGGATGGGGGATGAGGGATGGGGGATTGGGGGGGGGGGGGATGGGGGATGGGGGATGTGGGGGGGGAGAATGGGGGATGTGGGATGGCGGGGAGAGGGGGGGGGGGGGGGGGGGTTGATTAGCCTTGGGAATTGCATCGATGAGGGCCACACATTACTTCACCGGGACTATGGGCTTGCGCCACAGTTGCTAGCGGTCACCTCACCTAGCCCCACTTCACCTGCCCTCACTCCACTTCACCTGCCCTCACTCCACTTCACCTGCCCTCACTCCACTTCACCTGCCCTCACTCCACTTCACCTGCCCTCACTCCACTTCACCTGCCCTCACTCCACTTCACCTGCCCTCACTCCACTTCACCCGCCCTCACTCCACTCCACTTCTTCACCTACCCTCACTGCACCTCACCTGCCTCCACCGCACTTCACCTGGGCGAGCGTGCGGATGACGATGGCAACAGCCTGCAGAGGGGCACCCATGCCCGGCCCCTTGGTGTAGCACAGACAGTCTATGTCCCCCGGTGCTATGCCCGCCTGCTCATGCACACATGCACACATGCACACAGGTACACAGGTACACATGCACACAGGCACACATGCACACAAGCACACATGCACACAGACACACACGCACACGCACGCACACACCCACACACACAGAGCAGAGCACAGCCAGAAGCATAGCGGTGGGTAAAGGGCGAGTGAGATGGACCAGGATGTGCAGCACAGGCAGCCACTCTGTCGTGCGGGGACGGGGAGAGATCAAGCGACGAGCGCACACGCTGCAAAAGAGTCAGGTTGCGTGCACCAGGGAGGGCAGGTACATGACCGAGTGCAACGAGGTGCGTGTGAGGGTGTGGAGGGCGGGGTATGCGTTGAGGGGAGGGGTTAAATAGTGCATATGTGCAATGCAGGTACTCCATCCACGGCGTATGGGGGGAGAGAGAGGGCAGGTTCATTCGTGCTGTGCAGGTACTGGATCGACGGACGCCAGCAATCCCGCACGCACCTCGTCGCGCCAGCCCCGCCGCACGCACCTCGCGCAGCGCGCGCTCCACGAGCGGCAGAATTTTCTGCTGGTGGTGCGCCGCCGTCTCGCGCGGGAGGAAGCCGTGGCCGGGCGGCGTGATGTACGTGCAGCGCGGGTTGCTCAGAATGCTCCCATCACTACGCACCACGCCCACGCCCAGCTTGTTCGCCGACCCCTCCACGCCCAGCGCCAACATGACGCGCGATTGGCGAAAAGAGGGATTCGGGATGGGGAGGTGAGGGTGGTCGGAGGGGTAAGAAGGAATGGAGTCGTGTGCTTTTGACCTCGTGACTAAAATAACCGAAGTCACCTCGCTACAATATCAGACGGAACTATTTGTAGGAGAGGGCTGCTTTCACAGGCACATGAAACCCTGTTTGTGAAAGTTTCAATAATCTGGGCGGGGCGAAAACGAGAGAACTTGGCGAAACAAAGAAGGGGTTCGTCACTCAGCTTCAACGGAACTGAGAGCACTGACGATGCATGTCCGCATTTGTGGGAAGCGCGGAGTTAAAGCGGATAAAAAAAATGGAACATATATCTGTATACACGAATAAAAGCACATTCTATCCTAGAAAAAAAAGTTGCTCATGAGACGGTCGAGTTGCTCTTGCGTCAGTGTCGCGAGATGAATTTCAGCCATGACGGGGGTGTCGGGCAAGCTCTGTTCGTGGCCGTGCGTGCTTACGAGAGAGCACTTTGAGCGACGGTGCTTGTTTCGCTAAGAGACGTCTACACCCCCCCCCCCCCCCCCCCCCCCCAAAACTTGAGATAGTGGGAAAGCGAAGGTGTGGGTGCGGTCCGAGAAGAGATCGTGGGCTCTGATACTAAGTGTTACGAGTGCAATTGAGTGAGCGAGCGAGAATTGCACTATCGAAGCAAGAGGACGATGAGCGAAGGTATGAGCGAAGAATATAAAACGAAACTACAGTGGTAACGGTAATGTGTGGAAAATGGGGTGCGCGACGGGCCTAGCGCCGAGGTTGGGAATTGTCGAGGCGGAGGTCCGGAGCGCGGGTTACCAACCGAACCGTGAGGTTGGGTCGCGTCGTGAACAGTGGCGGAAAACAGTGTCGAGGCGGGTGTCGTAAGAGACAACGTATTACTGTTGGGTGTTATTGTCGGGAAACTGTGGTGTACGCATTGAGCAGGGACGTGAAGTAAGGAAAGGGAATTTTCCTTACACTACCCCCCCCCCCCCCCCCCCCCCTAAAGAGGCCCTCCTTACGAAAGCGCGTCTACATCCCGGAAATTTCGGCAGCGCAGATACTCGGTGAGGACGGGGTGGTTTTCAAATCTGTCCAGGGGAACCCAGTTGTCTTCAGTGGGCGTACGGTCTTTCCAGCGGATCAGAAATTCGATCCTTCGAGCTCCCCGTGGGTCACGAACTCGGTGGCTCATAATCTTTTCGGGCGTGATGATTGGTTCTGTCGGTGGTCGTGTCATGCTGGCTGGGCGGTTGCGGGGCAGTTGGCTGATGGATGGTACGTAAGGGGGAAGCAGGCTGATGCAGAAGGACGGACTGACGTACCAGTCAGCAGGGAGGAGGAGGTGGGCGGTGACGGGTGTGATCATGTGGCTGATGCGAAATGGCCCGCAATATCGGGGGCGGAGTTTGAGGGTGATGGGCAGGCGAAGGTTTTGGGTGTCGAGTAAAACTAGGTCGTCGGGCTGGTAAGTGACACGTCTGCGGTGGCGGCCGGCGTTGCGTTTAGCGTTGATGTTGGCCTTTTTAATTGCGTCGACTGCCCGGGTCCGTGCTGCTTGTAAGATTTTTGCGAACTGTTGCGCGCGTGGTACTGGGTTGTCGGGATTCGGGGTCATGGGTACTGTAGGGTCTTGACCGTAGTTCAGGTAAAACGGTGACTGTTGGGTCGTGGCGGATGGCGAGTTGTTGTACGCGAATTCGATGAGTGGCAATTGCTGTTCCCAGGTGGTCGGATCGTCGCACGTGGCTCGGATGAGTTGCTCCATGGTCTGGTTTGTCCGTTCTGTCTGTCCGTCGGTTTCGGGGTGGTACGAAGAACTAAACTGTAGTCGCGTGCCGAACTGCTGCCATAGGTTCCGCCAGAAGTTGCTGGTGAATTTCGTGTCGCGTTCGCTGATGATCGCTGTTGGTATCCCGTGCAGTCGAACGACGGTGGAGATAAAGAGGCGGGCTGTTTCTTCGACTGTGATTGATTTCTTGCAGGCTGCGAAATGTGCGATTTTCGTCAGCCGATCGACGACGACCAGGATCGCGTCGTTCCCACTTGCTCCAGCCGGTAACCCCGTGACGAAGACCATCGTCACCTGCTGCCAAGCACGCTATGGGGGTGGTATCGGCTGCAACTCTCCTGCCAGCCGCTTCCGTGATTATTTCATGAGTTGGCAGGTGGGACACGATGCCACGTGTCGCTGCACGTCGGTCAGCATTTCGGGCCAGTAAACTCGACCATGGCCGACGAGTGAACGTGGCCAGGTGACGGCCCGTCCGTGTGCACGTGCAGATCGACACACGCTGACCCCCAGGAGTGGTGGTAATGACCAGGTACTGGAGGGCAGCGGTACTCACCAAGTTCGTAGAGAACAAGGGGAGGTGAAGGCCTGACAGTGAGCCGGACGGAACCGCCGGACACGGGAGCACAGTGGAGGAACGGGCAAGGACTGGGCCCCCGGAGGGGTCAGCCAGCCTGACCGGTACAGGTGCAGAGAGAGGAGTGAGGGTGGTGCTGTCGCGAAAGAAACAGCATGAGGCACCTGAGTCAAGTGCGAAGGTGTGCAAGGCCTCAGAAGGCGCAGTACGAGGGAGAACAGACTCACTAGCACCAAGAGCAGCAGCCTCTATACCTCGGTCAGGTGGCACACACAGGTAAGAGTCACCCTCAGCACTAACAGACAAAGCATACATAGCAGCAAGGATAACATCATAGTCTAGGTCAAAGATAGCAACTCCAAACCTAAGCAGCTCTGCCCAGCGGGGGCGCTCGGCCTCGTCTCCAAACTCTACGCGCAAGGCGTCATCGAGGCGGGAGAAGCAGCGGTGCTGAATGTGAGGCTTCCCGCATGTCTGACCAGCACGGTCACCCATGCGAATGACATACGGGCAGCTACCACTACTCCGAGACGCCCCACGCTGAGAAAACCACTCACGAAGCTGTTGAGGCGACGGGGTCTCGCTCCAACGCTGCTGCTGCTGCCGCTGGCCACCTCCCGAACCTCCACGCTGAGTACCTCCAGCCCTACTGCCACTACTCCCACTGCCGCCACTACCGCCACCCCCACCGCTGCGACCGCCGACTCCACCAAAAGCCCCCACTCCCGCCACCACTCCCACTACTGCCACCGCCTCCACTGCCTCCACCACCTCCACTGCTGCCCCCACCACCACCCCCGCTGCCACCACCACCACCCCTGCCACCCTTGCCCTTGCTGCTGCGGCACTTCGCACTAGCAGAAGCAGCCCCGACGTCCTCAGCACCAAGGACGTCAACAGCAGCAGTAGAGACGTAGGAGGGGGCAAGGGGGGAGGGGGAGCACCCCTCAAAGAAGGGCGTGCGCGGATTACCACGAGCAACACCTACAGCGACTACACTAGTCTCGGCTGCAAGGAGGTGCTGCTCGAGTAGGTCAACAGTGAGGGCTGTGGGGTCAAGTGCGAGACATTGGTCCCTGACAGCGCGAAGAGAGTCAGGGAGGCAGGAGACTATAAAGTAGAGAGTGATGTACATCAGGGGCAGGTTCCTGTCAAGGAACTCTGCTGGGAGGGCAGCGCGGTAGCGAGCGTCGCTAGTGCGAAGGTGGGAAACCAGGTCCTCTACTGTGGCAAAGGCGGACAGCTCGGGAAACAGGTAGGGCAGTAGAAGACGGCCTAGAGCGGCAGTGGCAGGCAAGGAGTAACGGTCGACTACAGCGTCGTACATTTCCTGTGCTGTCCTGTGCTGTCCGAAGTGAGCGCATTCGGCTAACGGCAGGTGGTTGCGAATGGCTAAGCGAGCAGCAGCGTCACGAGTAAGCCACTGTGAGCGAGTCGCACTGTCAGATGTGGCGGGAGGGGCGGGAGCAGCACCAGACGTGTGGTCAAACAGCGAAACGCTGTCCTTTGAGTCGCTCAGTAGGTACAGCTGCAGGTCGTCAAGCCACGTGTCAAACTGGATCGGGCGGCCCTCATGATCGAACGCTAGAACGCGGAGAGAAGCCATAGCGGCGCAGCATGCAAGGCGGGCAGAAGCCGGCAGCGCAGGGAACAGGGCAGGCAGCAGAGAGGGGCGGCAAGCAGGCTGCAAGAGAGGCGGCTCGAGGGCCTAGGGGTGGCTAGCAGGGCAGCAGGGGCGGCTAGGGGGCCACCAGGGGCGGCGCGCGGGGCTGCAATGGCAGCTTGCGGGCTGTAGGGGCAAAGGGCCGGGCCGCAAGAGGCGGCGCGCGGGGCCTGGGGTCGACGGGCTGGCGGGGGCCTAGGGGCGACGGGCGACGGGCCGGGGCCTAGGGGCAACGGGCGACGGGCCGGGGCTAGGGGCGACTGGCCGGGGCCTAGAGGGGGTGACGGGCGATGGGCCTAGGTTAGGGGCGACGGGCCGGGGCCTAGGGGGCGACGGGCCGAGGGGCTAGGGGCGACGGGTCGGGGCCGGGGCCTAGGGGCGACGGGCGACAGGTTGGGGCTTGGGGCGACGGGCCTAGGAGCGACGGGCGTCGGGCCGGGGTCCTAGGGGCGACGTGCGACGGGCCGGGGCAACGGGCCTAGGGGCGACGGGCCGGGGCGACGGGCCTAGGGGCGACGGGCCTAGGGGCGACGGGCCGGGGCGACGGGCCTAGGGGCGATGGGCCTAGGGGCAAAGGGCCGGGGCGACGGGCGTAGGGGCGACGGGTCGGGGCGACGGGCCTAGGGGCGACGGGCCGGGGCTAGGGGCGACGGGCCTACGGTCGACGGGCAGGCCGCACGAGGGCGGCGCGCTGGGCAGCAGGTGCGGCACGAGGGTCGCTAAGGGCGGCTAGTGGGGCAGCGCGGTGGTGGGCCCAAAAAAAAATCGGTCCTAACGAAGGACCTGCTCTGAAACCATGTCAGAATAACGAACCTGAAAATGAATGAACTATGAAACAGTTGGGTACAAGTACTAACCCTAATTGGGTTGTACCCCTTATGGGCTACCCCACTATAGCCTACACAAATGTAAGCACTATAACATTCTGACAGTTGCGAGGGACAATCAGTGGATTAGC